TTTTTTGGTCTTTTTGAGACAGGGTCTCCCCTTAGCCCCAGCTGTCCTGGAACTCACTATGTAGACCAGGCTGGCTTTGAACCCACAGAGATCCACCTGCCTCTGCCTCCTGAGTGCTGGGATTAAAGGCGTTCGTCACCATGCCTGGCTATTCAGTTTAGTTTTTACTTACTTAGATAAAAGTCAAATCATAATGTTGGGGTGTTCACAGTACTCAGTTCATAGTAGTTGTTCATGTATAAATGGAATGAACGGATACCTGTCTGGGTTCACTAGAACTTTCAGATTATTTGCAATCAATTCAAATCTAGAACGTTATGGTTGACCTTTGGGAGAAAATTTGCACTTTTTTCCATTACAAAAATAATGTGTATTGGGGCTGGAGAGATGGGTCAGTGGTTAAGAGCAGTGACTGCTTTTGCAGAGGACCCAGGTTCGATTCCCAGCACCCACATGGCGGCTATGAACCCTCCTTAACTCCAGTTCCAGGGGCATCCAAAGCCCTATTCTGACCTCCACGGCATTGCACGACATGGGTGCACTCACACACATGCAGGCAATACATTCATACACATGAAAATAAACATAATAAAATATTAAAAAAATGTATATTCATTAACTTACTATGAAGAAGCTTTTGTAGTTAATATAGTTAGAGCTTGTATAATGACAAGCATAATTAATGTATTTTCAAAAATTTCTTCTGAGGACAAATTACAAGGAAATGGGTTTTCATGGTACTTAGATTAGTATCCAGTGTGTAATGCTCTTCTTAATGGTACATGCTTAGATCCTGGTACAAGTTATAGAGGGTGGTGGAATAGTGAATTTTTATACATTGTTGTGAATAGGATAACTAATTATGTTCTTGTCGTTTTGTAGTATTCCACCTGTTCTCATTAAAATTATTTTATCAAGCTGGGCATGGTGGTGCATACTTTTAATCCCTGCCCTTGAGAGGGAGGTTGATCTCTGTAGCCAGGCTGGTCTACATATCAAGTTCCAGGCTAGCTGGATCTACAGGAAGAGTCTATCTTAAAATATCAAAGGGAGCCTGGCATGGTGGTGCATGCCTTTAGTCCCAGCACTTGGGAGGTAGAGGTAGGCGGATCTCTGTGAGTTCATGGCCAGCCTGGTCTACATAGTGAGTTCTAGGTCAGCTGGGGCTACGGGGAGACCCTTTCTCAAAAAGACCAAATTATAAGACTAAAACACAAAAGGGAATATTTTATCAAAATGAGAAATTATACAAAGCTTAAGTGTTTTTTCATTATACTAGTTATGCACTCTATAAATTATTGAAAGAATTTTTATTCTGTAATCTGTGTTCATTAAATGTGTA